GAAAGGGCTGAGCGTTTGGGCTTTGGAGAGAATAATAGTTCGCTGACACCTCAAGGTCTAAACCCTTAGATCCCTGCCCAAGTTCAAAAATATTCCTGGGTAAGTTTATTTCAGTTCCTGTTTTATTTCAGAATTACATTTCATCTCGTGCCATGGTTTCTTACACACTTTCACAAAGGAGTTATTCATTACTTTTACTGCTGTCCTCGAGTCTCGTGTATGCTGCCCAAACTGGCCCCCCAAAGTGCCGCACACACCACCCAGGGGCTCATGCAATAGCAGCATCTGTTCCCTGATTCTGGAGACTGGAAATCCAACCTGGTGGTGCAGACAGGACTGGCCCCTTCAGAGGACAGTGAAGGAGGAGGCTGGTCCATCCCTCTCTCCTCATTCCTGGCAGTTTACTGGCTTTCTTGGGCATTCCTTGACTTACAAAAACAGCACCCTGAACTCAGTCTTCACCTTCATCTGTTCTTGGCTGTGTGCATGTCTGTCTTCCAAGTCCACTCCCCACCTGCTTTTTTTTGGGAAAAAAAAAAGGTGTAGTCCTGGCGTTGAACCCAACTCATGAATGAGAGGAATGTCTTTCTACCAATTAGCCACACCCCCTAGCCAAATTCTCTCTTTGTCTAGCATGACATCTGTCATGCTAGATTAGGGTCCACCCTGATGACCTCATCCGCACCAACTACATCTGCCACAACCCAATTTCTAAATATAGGGCTCCATTTTAAGGAATGGAGAATTAGGCCAGCAACACATACCTTTTGAAGTAAACAATTCAACCAACAGCAATCGTTTCTCACATGAAAAATGTTTGACCTCTTCCAGTTACTGCTAAACTGTTTAGGTGAGTAGCTTTCAACATTTTTGTTTAGAACTACAACCTGGTGAGGGAAATAACTTTTTCTGCAGTTTACTAAGGTAGAAACAAAAACCTTAATTTCAATTAAAAAAATATTTATAAGTCAGTATTTCAATTAAAAAATATTTGCACATTAATGCAATACTGTCATACCATCCAGAAATGACATATGTGTTAAGTGGCAGTAAGGCAGCCTCCCAAGCACTGCTCGGGGGCCTGGGGACCATATCCAGAGGCTGTGCAGGTCATGTGGGTGAATGGTCGGGCCCAGTGGTATTGGACATCACCCCATGGCTCACCCACAGTGGCAGGGAGCCTCACGGTACAGAGCACTGAGCGCAAGGCCTTGAGCATATCAGGCATGTGCTCCGCCCTTTGAGTTAGCTCTGTGGCCCTGGGGAGCAACCACTTTTTTTCACCCAGCAAGCTTTAAATAACTGTTAAATCTTTCATACCTCTAAAAGAACATGTAAGCAGGTGTTCCATAATTATTTGTTGAAAAAAAGAGTGAAAAAATACTGCCAGTGAGGGGAGAAAACTGGATTCTGAGCTGGCTATGCTAAATTCTTAGTTGAGTAGTGTTTTCCTGTATGAAATTTAGTAGGAACTAAGATTACTGGCAAAACTGCAAAGTGTTACATGTCTCACAGATCTTTGAAGTCACTGTTTAAAGACAAATCATCAAATTTTTTTTAAAAGTGCCTAAATTTGGAACAGGAGAGATAGTCTACAGGCTAGTTGCCTTGCATGCTGACAACTTGGATTTGATCCCTGGCACCCCATATGGTCCCCCAACCCCCACCAGGAGTGATTACTGGGTGCAAAGACACAGAAAGCTCTGAGCACCACTGGAGATGTTACCTAAAAACAGAAAAATGAAACAAACTGTCCCCCATGAGCAGCTCTCCGTCACGGCCATGGCGCCAGAGGTACACAGACCTAATTAAGAACCCTGCAACTTGTGGAAGAAATGCGAATGAACTATGCATTAAACTATGGCGCTGTGCCTCCTCCCCTCCCCCCGCCGCTCCGGGAGGGAAAGGGTGTCTGTCTCTTCTGCCTTCCCCCCACCTACCGGTAGCACGGTGGCCACTGCCTTAGACCTTGTTGGACAGCCAGGTATGAGCTGGCAGTGATGGGGCAACTGCAGCCTCATGGCATGGGTGGCAGAACCGGCACGTCCTTCACACCCAACTGAGGCCATGAGCTGCCCCCCACGAGCGGCTCTCCGGACATAGCCCCAGGGGCACTCAAACCAATCTCATTATTATCCGGCTTTTGGCAGAAATCCCTCCAGACTTAATTAGTAAAATATCAGAAATCCAAAATCGCACGGCCACAATTGCGGCCGTGTGGTCTTCATAACCAGCAATAGAAAACAAATTATTTCACAGTGCCTTTTCAGCAGTTCTGATTGTTGGGGGAAATTCCAAATAATAATGGTGCATCTTTTGTCGAAATGATGAATGTAATCAAAGTAGAAAGAGAGTTAAACAGAAATCATCTGCCTCACGGGCATCGGGAGGGGTGGGGTGGGGGGTATATTGGGGTTCTTAGTGGTGAAAATTGTGCACTGGTGAAGGGATGGGTGTTTGATCATTGTATGACCAAGACTTAAACCTGAAAGCTTTGTAACTTTTCTCACGGTGATTCAATAAATAAGCTTAAAAAAAAAAAATTTTAAAAGTCAAAGAATGTATTACTCAAGAAAGCAAAAGCTGGAGCTGTAGCAATAGGACAGTGGGGGGGGGGGGGGGGGGAGCGTGGCCTTGCATGCAGCCAACGCGTGGGTTCAATTCCTAGCACCCCATATGGTCCAGGGAGCACTGCCAGGAGTGTTTCCTGAGTACAGAGCCACGAGTAACCTCTGAGCACTGTCAGGTGTGGCCCAAAAACAAAAACAAAAAAAGAGCAAAAGTGAAAAATTAAAATGTATCAACCAAGTATATTTACTCTGGTCAACAGGCAATGAATTGGAGGCAATTCGTCATCATTATTTATTCTGGTTTTGGGGACACACCCTGGGAGTGCTTAGTTAGCAAAGATCCTTGGGGAACCAGGTGGTGCCAGAGATCGAATCAAGTGCTCCCACATGCAAAGCATACGCTCAAGCCCTTGGAGCCATCTCCCCAGCATAATAATTATCTAATTTAATAACTGTCTTTGGACAAAATCCAAGATAAATTATACACTAAGAAAACTGTCTATATAACAATTCTGTATTCTTTTTCCAACATTTTCCAACACAGTCTCTCAATAGCTAAAATCCATGTAAGAGAGGAAAGGTATTTTTTTCTATTTCTGTTAATCATCTCACTCCAATGAATTTCCTGAGTATGTGGTTTTAAAATACTGTATTACTATAAACTTCCAGTTCTAGCTCTGGATAGGTCTATATTCATTTAAGCAGAAACATCTTGAAATGCTGAATTATCATCTTCAATTTCCTTCCATCATTTATTGTGGCTGCCACACTGAAATGGCACACCTTAAAGGCAACAGTAAACTGAAGCAAAGAATAAAAAGGCATCTTTTAAATGTTTCATTTATAGAAGCTTATTTTTCCCACCATCAAATTTTGTATACTGCCTGAAATACATCACTTGACTAAACTGACAACTTGCACACAGTTACTCCACAACGACACAGCCACTGAACTTCAAGGTTTATGGGAGAGGAGGATGGTGGGGGTGGGGGGGTGGGGGGGGGACTACATATCTTTTTTCAACATTTTATGAACAGATAAATCATAAAGAGCTGGTCTGTTTTGGGTTTTGGCCTTTGGGGATGGGGATGAGGGTACAGAACTGAAATTGAACTTCAATTATCAACAGGCATCATGAAAGCTATCCCTTTTCTGGAGAGCTTTGTAATCTTCCTAGCTATATTAAAAATTATGCCATAAAACAAAAATTTTTAAAAAGCACATCAAGTCAGAGCGTGGCTGCTCCAAATAGCTGTCTATGACAGCTCACTCTGATAGAAAAACAAATCTGTGAACCAAAAACATTCCCAGTATTTTCTTGAAATCCTGCCCACAAGCAGCATAATAGCAAATTAATCAAGTAGAGCAAATCTACAGAATTCTATTATAAACTCGTATGTGCTTTTGCCCATAACATAATTGTTAATGAAAACTATGAAATGCTAATATGTAAAATAAATTAAATGTACTTGTGTTTCCAAGATACAAAACTAAAAAGAATATTTTTATTAGTAAATTCGGATCATGTTTCTATAAAATCGCCAGGTCATTTAGTAAAAGAATTAATCACACAGAATTAATCACAGAGTAAAAGAACCACTGATTTTACCCGAACAAGTTTGCTAAACAATGTCATAAAGGGTGAAAATTAAGATGTTAGGCTTGCTTTTCTTCTCTTTCTAATTCCACTCTTGGCCATTACAGGAGGGTCAGAAACAAAGATCACATTCTTCTCAGTTAATGCCACTTTCTAAAGCCAGAATTTCTGATAATTTATTGCATAAAATTATACTTTAATTGTATCATAAATTTGAATGACTACTAAAGCATCTTTTTCTCCAATGACCTACTTAAGAAGAAAAAGTCTGTATTCGATACAACGCCTATTTTTGAAGTATTTCCTACCATTCAAGTCAATTTTAAAGGACTTATTTAGAAATAATACCAATCCATCTCTAACAACTAAGTCGAACAATTTTTTAATCTGCAGGGTATCTTAAAAAGCAATCAACTTGACATAACCTCCTAATTCCAGGAATGTAAGACATATTTCAAGCTTCAATCTTCCTCTTAACATATTCTACTTTATTAAAATGAATTCCCATCCTGCACCTAAGAACAAGAAAATTGTACTTAAAATAGTATTAAAGGACAGAATCTCATTATTTAGAATTAGATTAATAGTCCAATTCTAATCTTAAAAATACCTATAACTATAACCTCTCCAACTTGTTAATTCCCAGAGAGATTAATAAAAGATATAATTAACATCTATACTTAGAGCAGAGAATCACTTGGGACAAACTATGTTAACAATAACTGTACATAGTCAAACGATCAACTCATCACCTTTCTGCTTCTCAGTAAGGTTAATGAGCACAATTTGTCATAAATTTTCCAGTAACTTTAAAAAAATAAACTTCACAGGACTAATTTTCTGATAATTTTTATTCTATTTCTTTAAAATAACTAAAGACAGGAGTCCTTATTTTGAGACTAGCACAGCATTTGGCAAGATAAATATTAAATATCTCTGAAATTAATAAACAAGAGTAACCCAAAGCACTGCCACCATTAAGTTCACTATGCACAAAATAATAAGTTTTTAAATTGTACATAATAAGGGGACATACAAAGTATTTTTATTCCTAATAATAAACACTGAAAGAATTATTCACCTAAAAATCTCAATTTAACAGAATACAATGCTGGACTTTCACAAATTAATAATTTGTCTAATTTTATACCAGTGAAGTATGGCATTTTTCATCTTTTTTTCCTTCTATAAAACTTGAAAATATACAGAATTGTTTTAGAAGATTCTTTGCAACACTTTTATACTAATCTTGATTTAAGAACATTTACTTCTCTCTTGAAGAAGTTATTTTCTTAAAAAACTAAAACTTTGAGAGTACGAAAGTTAAAAAAGGAAATACTATAAATGTTCTTCCACTTCAAAAATTGTCTGACATCTGAGCCAAAAGACTTTCTGCATCTATCAGTGACTTCCTCTTCATGTGTCATAGAAAGAGTTCAACATGTTTTACAAAATCCATTACATTTTAAGACCATTTCCAATATCTGTTACCATAAATCAAGAAATCCATTTATTCAAGGTTACTTATGGAGAATTAATCACACAGAGAATTTTAACAACTTCTTTTTCAAAAATTAAAGTACTTTACTGTACTTGGCATTCTTATATATAATTATGTGAATTCAAAGACTAAAAGCATTAAAGGCATATAATTAAATTTTGTAGTCATAGATACAAAAAATTTCTGATATACAGAACTGTTACAAATATTCCAGAAAAATAAAAATATAAGCACGGTATAATCCCCTTTGGATTTCTCCTTTGCTTAAGTGACATTATATAAAATAAAAGGTTGTTCCAAAACACTTGTATATACTTGATAAACTTCAAGAACACATATGCAAGAAAAAAATAAACCTGAAAAAGTAGTCTATGAGAACTTGGGAATCACGCAGCACAAACACTCCCGGATTTCTCTACCTTAAATAATTTCTAAAACCTGTCTTCCTCAGTTCAAGGGAAAATTTACTCAAAACACAGGCAGATCAACTACACAACATATACCACCTTTATTGAGAGGGCACTGTTATTGTGACAAAATTCCGCCATGAATATACAACCTTATTTCCATCTAAAGTTAATGATATATTTGCTTTAAATGGAGTAGAGAGACAAAGTGCCAAGAATTAAAAGAATTGCCTTAAGAGTTTTAATTTTACACAAGTATCAAAAAAGCAGGAAGTCCCCAAATAAAAACACAATACAGTAAAAAATAACCAAAAAATATAAACATCTAAGTATTTCATTCATTACAATGAAAATAAGGTATTTTTAACTTCAGTCTTCATATAGTAAACTTGATCAAGCCATTATTAATTTATAGGCAAATGTTTACAGAGGACATTAAAATTAACTTTCATAGCTGCTTATAAAATGGAACTTGAGAGACTGACCTATATAAGGAAATGAGTCTTGTCAGGTGAGATGGCAAACTATAAATATAAAATATACCACAATGTTAGAAACCTTATGATTATCTATAGGAAATTCAATAAACATAACTTAATCTTTCTGGGGAAAAGAAGTAATTAACATTACAAATTTAAAATGCACATTTTATATATAATTCAATAAAGAACATATTTAAAACTTTACCACATAAGTGGGAAAGAACAAAAAAAGAACAAAAAAAGAACAAAAAAACTTTTTGAATATATGTACATAAGAAACAAAAGGTTAATTTTTAGTTTTCCCTTTATTGGCAACTTTTGATGCATGCTTGGGTTTGGGTTCCCAGAGTGCATTTTTCACAAATCTTGAAGCTGCGCCTTTATCCAGCTTGCCAGCCTTCTTCTTATCTGTTATTTCCTTGACTCTGTTCATGTACACTCTGATTCTTTCCTTAAAGATTAAAAAAAAAAAAGACAGGCAATAGATTTACCAAGCTGTTCACCACCACTAAGTTTTATTGCTCTCTCTCTCAGTTAAATTCAACAAATTTGTATTTATTGCCTATTGAGTGGTGCTAGTAAATGCAAGTGAATAGGATAAATATGCTCCATGCTCTCCTGGAGTTCATAGTCCAGAGGGAATACAGACATTAAAAAGTCATTTCAGAAGTGTTCTGAGTATTTCAATAGACTAAGACAATACCACAGAGATAAACATTGAATTGTTTCTTTGTGGATATACATTATTTAATTTAGCATTTTAGCCTAAACTCACATACTAATAATTCTGATGTATTTAAGTCTATAAAGTAAAACAAAGCTCTCATATACTTGCAACATACAACACCTGAAATCTTCTATAGGAAATGGAAGAGGTAGCATTCACGTTTTTTGTATTACCTCCTACTATCATAATGAAAACAGAATAAAAATATACTATTTTTTATTTAATTCCAGTTTTTACTGACAAGTGCGTGCTATTTTTCTAATGAAATACACAATTCTAATCAGACTACTAGAAGAGAGAAACATAATAGGATCCTGTACTTAACTACTTTGAATCTTCTTAGACCATTAATCAGAATAAAGGTCTAGTCTATACTTCAACTGGGGAAATAAAGGTGATGAGAGCCATAAATTAGCAGAGTAAGTGATTGAGCACAGCTGAAAAGCAACTTTCGTTAATCAAAATACATTACATACACATACACAGGAAAAAGCAGAATCTCAGAATATTTTCATTTAAAAAAAAAACTGATAATTCTGATCAAAATCCACTCATGACTTTCTACTTTTCTCACAAAAATGCTAACATCCTCACAATACACACCCGCCCATCCCTGCCAAGAATGATCTTTCTCCAGATATCCATAGCCATGACCTCTCTTCTTTTTAGCCTACTCAAATGTTAATCTTATTAACAGACCCTGACTTCACCTTTCTGTTTTGTTTGCTTTTTGGACCCATACCCAGGAATGCTTAGGGATTACTCCTAGCTTTGTGCTCAGGATCACTCCTGGCAGTGCTCAGGGGACCATATGGGATGTCAAGGATTGAACCCAGGTTGGCCACGTGCAAGGAAAAAGCCCTACAAGGAGACAAGCAAGTGTACTATCACTCCAGCCCCTGGCTTCACCTTTTAAAATGATCTTAACAAAGCATTCTAAATACCCTGAGCATTTTAAGCATTCTAAATATCATATAACTTCCTAACGTGCTAAATATCATATAACTTCCTAAGCATTCTAAATATCATATAACTTCCTTTTTAACATGCTGTATATTCATAAATACTGATTTGGGGGGGGAGGGTGTTGTATTTTTTTTGTTTCCCTCACTAGCCTAGCATCTGTGACAAGGGCAGGGTCTCAGTTTTACCCACCGAGAAATCATCTTTCTTGGGAATAATGCCGGTTTTTTAGTAGTCTTTAAAATATTGGAAAGAATAAATTTGGTATTTTAATGCCTTATATATTGTACACAAGTTTACTCTCACACTGTTTTCAATTAGTAACGTCTGCCATTAATACCAAAAAAAAAAAAAGGGAACAGGTGTATGTGTGCATGCTCTTTAATAGACAACCCTAGTTTGGAATATGAATGTTCTCCTCCCTAAGCTGAGTTCTAAGAGAAAGAACTTTGCATTTTGACAGTCCAGGCTCGTCCCTAGCACCACACGGTTCCCCCTCCAATCTCCAAGGAAACAAGCAAGAAATCAGGAGTCACCCTTGGGGTATGGCCCAAAAACAAAAAAGTTACGTTCTTGAAGCATATTTCTATTCACCAAAAGATTTCATGTCAGTAGCACTGATCAAATCAACATATCAAACAAAGCAACATATCATGTTGCTATGTTTTAAGTGTTTTTATAATTTCTGAGTTTAAAATATATGATTTTCAAAAAAATTAATAAAAAAAACAGCCCACTCATTCAAAAATTAAAAACAACAGATCTCTTTTTATCTCTAAAAGTTGTTTTATTTTAAATAAATGCCTGAGTACTTTAATGAGTTGTAACTAATATATGTATCAATAACCATAAACGGGTGTCAAGTGTATTTCACATATATATTTACCTCCTATGTTATAAATAAAGAATATATTTGTTAATATTCTTATTCATAAAGCAAGTCAAGAAGATAACCATAAGTATGATTTCTAATTTTTTTCTTTCAAATTGAATGATTTAATTTTTGAAGTCAGCAAAATCTCCAAGATATCAGACCTTATAGACTATACTTATACATCTAAATGGAATACAAAGACAAACCTAGAAGATTTATTACAGGTTGTAAATATGTCACTAATGCAGAATTACTGGACAGTACACATACAACTGGTGCCAAAAAAGCTTTTAGCTTTGTTGCTGAACTGGATTCTTTACTGCTGAGAAAATGAATTAATGGAGGAATTGAAAAGGTGGGGGAGAAACTTTCCCGTCTTTGCTAGTAAATCAACTAGAATATACTTTTAAGAATTGTGTAAGAGTTTTAAAGCGATGGGGAGGAGTTGTAGAGATGAACAGGATTTCAAGAATTTATAGGAAAAATAATGTGGAAGTTATAAATAATTACTAGAAGCATAACATTTCCCATCCAAAGGTTTATATAATATATATGGCGCACCAAATCACTGACAAAGGTCACAGAAAGAAAAACTGAAGACATGATGGAATCTGGCTTAATTTCATAATTTCAACTCCAAATAATTTTATTTACCACAATTAGGGAGATAAAGGTACTGAGACTCAAGGCTTCAGGAATGCTACAGCAAGACATATAGAACAAAAAGAAATCCACCAAAGTCTTACCAATTCCTGCTTCACTGGATGTTCCTTAGGATTAACTCCCTGAGTAGCCAAATAAACTACAAGAGAAAAATTTCGTAGAAGAAAAAAAGAGGTATACATATTAAATAAGGGCATTAATTTTAAAAACTCTACTTACAAAATTTAAAAAGTCACAAATGATTAAATAATCTTAAATCATTCAACCCTTATAGAATATTAAATTTATGTGGTTTATGGGCATTTGGTATTCTGATTTAAAAGAAATAAATATCTATTAAAATCACCATAAAGTACAATTGTATGTAATTTGCAAGCATTTATAAATCACCTTGACATAATGCATAATTTATTTTCTAATTAACTCCAAAATAAAATACATACCCCAAAACATTGAATTTAATGTGTAAGCAGAAACTAAATCCACTTTTGCTTGTTCAAGTGGGTCCAACTACAAAAAGAAATACATACAAACTTTGAGCACCATCACATAATATTTGAAACTTTCACCAAACACAGTGCATCAAAGAAATTTTTTCCACTTCCTATAATCCAATAAACAATCTGGAAATAATTTACAAAAAGAAGTTTAGTTAACCAGTAATTTTTCCCCACAAATTTTCACTTCAGGGTACCATCTTTAGTTAGACAGGAATGTGTATAATCTAAGAAAAATTCTTTTGAATTATTTTAATTTCAGGAGTTACAATCTGGGCTTTGTATGTCAAAAGTAATTTATTAATATGAACATCGTACATGATGCACTTATGTTTAAGAAGCAGGCTAAAATGCTAAAGCAATACCAAAGACAGAAGAAACATAATAAGATTTGTTTTAGACTGTCAAAGTCAATTTACTGTTTATGTCCTATAGGGTTTCCAGAAACCCTGATAACATCATTGTAATGCTTAAAAGGTCAAAGATAAAGTTTGTCAAAAAGAATGCTGTGAGGGCTTCTTTTTTTTTTTTATTTTTAAATCAAGACAAAATAAAAATACAGTTCAGACTTGTTTCCTAGTTTGAGAATTTTACTGAATTCCCCTAAAAATACCCAACCTTCTATAAAATTGTTAAAAAGGGTGTAAAGGGCACATAATCATTCAGCTATTTCTTAAAATCATTTCACAAAATATGCTCTGGTCTACAAATTCTTTTTAGTAATCACATATTTAATATACCTTCTGCAACAACTCATTTCTAGAAACAGACATCATGGTCTTCAGCATATCATCCACAGCACCAATGGAATTCTCAAATGTTGATAAATACTCATGAATTTCTATTGGATAGTCTTCATTAATTTCTCCACCTGCCATTATGATCAACTAGAAAAATAAAATAAAATCTTATAATTCACATTTATAGCCAGATCACCCTTCCCACACCCCCCAAAAAAGGGCAACAGTTCATGCCATGAATTTCAAAAATGTTTCAAAGAGCTTAAAACCTTAAGCTAATTAAACAAATGTTCCGAGACCATAATTTCAGATCTACTATATCAAATATCCCCTCTTCCTAATTTTGGTCGTGGGGGAGAGGCTGTGGGCGGGGGAGGGGGGGAGGAAGGGTGTGGAACCAGAGCTAGCCAAGTGCACAAACACTACACAATGGCAGCACTCAAACTCTTGGTGCTTTCCAAGCAGCAAGACGTGACTTGGGCCAGGGACACAGCTCAGAGGGCTAAAGCACATGTGTTGCACAGAGGAAGCCCAGGTCTAATCCTGGGCTCCACACGGTCCCCAACGTCGTAAAAATCTTCTGTTAAAAGCCAAGCAAAATAATGTTAAGTGTATTCCCTAATGCTTGCTGGGGGGGGGGGGGGGGGGGATGTATAATTTAAATTCTTTTTTCCAAAACAAATATGTATTTCAATCTTCCTGGGAGTAAATGCTAATCTAACTTGGTGTATTTAAAAAATTAAATACAAGGCCTGAAAAACCTCATGATTATCAGTAAAATAATTTTAAGACTTTATATTGACATTCCTCAAGCTTCTTTAAATTATCAGTAAGAAATTCAAAAAATTCATAAATCAACCTAAAGTCTATAAGCAGAAAGAAGGAGAAATTGGAAGAAATAAACTACATAGTTTTCATTTAGACTAGAGTACACCTGACAGCCATTTCCCTTCAAAATTTACACTTATATCATAATATTTAGTATCTATGTAAAAAAAAGCAAAATCCACATCAATATATACATATGTACTTCAAGACCAAATTTCAAAAACAATTCCAAGCAATATGTACCGTATTTAAGTTCTATTTTTTGTTTTCACTAGCTGAAAACATGGCTAAGAAATACAGCAAGAATGTGTAAAATAGCAAGTAAGAGCAGAACTAAGAGACTTGGGCTTTCCATGGTGTCTGATCACTAACTTTGTCACCTTAGATAAATTACTAAATCTTTCTGGGCCTAAGATAGCCCACAGTTGGGTTTAATTATCTCCGAAGTCCCTTATACTTCAAGTATCTCTATACCTAAGTTGCCCCGTTTATAAAATAAAATAGTAGGGTCTAATTATCTCTGAAGTCCCTTATAACTCTAAACGTATGGTTATATCATTTAAGTTATATCAAAAAGTTATCTCTTTGAAGAGCAGGAAGGTGTGGAGACTTGCAATCCAAAATAAAATAAAAGTTACTATGTGGGGCTGGGAGATGTCTCACAAAGCTAGAGTGCTTATAGAGGTGGGTTTTTTTTTAATACTGGGTACCACATGGTCCCCCAAACACTGAGCTATGAGCAACCCTGAAGCAACACACTACAAACAGCCTGGCAAGCATAGCCACAAAACAAAAAATTACTACTTGAATATTTAGTGGTAATAAATTGGCATTTTTTGAGTCAATAGGCCTCTTCCATGAGACATCTGTTTTCATTAAGAGAGAATAAAGTCTGTCTAACAATCCCTACTTGCACTGTAAACTTACAATCCAACAACTGCTGGGCAACCGGCAATTGTACAAAGGGTGCTGATAAAGGAAGACCACACAGGAAGGAACTATGACTTACAGTCTCGAAAGACTGACTGAAAGTATGTATTTGCCTCTTATCCCTCTGCAAGGCACTCCAAAATGGCAGCAGAAATATAAAAACAAGTACACGGTAATGCTGGAAACTAGAAAGGACATATGTCCATCAACAGAAATTCCTGTAAGTTTAAGTACACACAAGCTCAGACTGATGGGAAACAGCCAAGAATCCTTTACAAACAAAAAAGATGAGGATCTAGGAATAACCCAAGATGAAAGGCAGTAAAAAGCAAGACCATGAGAGCTGAAAGCAACTGAACCGATCTCAAGATCTTTAAAAAGATGGCTCAGCATCTGCTGCCCAGATAGAGATGCAAGAATAAGGGATACACTGAGAATACAGAGAAGATTTAGTGCTCCTTCTCTTGATGTAGAATTTTTAACCAATAAATTTTAAAATATGAAAAGAATGACAGAGTGATATCTGGGGGTCAGGGGAGGGAATCAATTATCAATACTAGTCTTAAAAGTACATAAACTAAATAAATCATCACACACAAATTGAATAGTCAGGGATCTACCCTCCAAAGACTCCCAACCTAGAAAATTTTATAGGTACTTTCTTCCATATCTTCCAGAAATACTTTATTCCTGTGTTTAGGAACACCAAAAAAGCATGGAAAACTTAGATACTTCTATTTTATAACACAAAATAAACTCAATGTGAATTTAAAATTTAGATTTATAAACATTAAAATATTACATAATATTCTTAATCCAAATGAAACCTATGCAATATAGGAAGAAAAAACATGCAAAATTTTTTGAAAATAAAAAAATCTATAAGGTAAAAGTATACCATAAGTAGAGTTAAAAAGGCAAAAAGCAGCATGAAAGAAAACATAACAAAGAATTAGATTACACAAAGAGTTCCTACAAAGCAATAAAATAAATATGACTCATCAGATTGGTAAATTTGGTAAAATTGGTAAATTCCTAATTTCTAACATTAGCAAACATATAGCAAACCTATACTGAAGGTAAAATTGGTAAACTGACAGACATTTTTTTAATGCACTTCCCTATGACCTTTTAAGAATCTAACCTATCACTGCCAAGATTTTCACTACATGCAAGCAAAGTGTCCTTGAACTTTGTCTGATTGGGACAGTCAAAACTGAACAGGAGAACACAGGAGGAAAACAAAGAATGTATATAACTCAGAAATAACCTTGTAAACAATAAAAAGCCTTTATTCAGCTGCACAGAATACAAAATGTGAGTTAATCATATGAATGAGAGAGAGAGAGAGAGAGAGAGAGAGAGAGAGAGAGAGAGAGAGAGAGAGAGAGAGAGCTGGAAAGAGCACAGGGTTTAAGATACTTGCCTTCCATCCCACAAACCCTGCTCCCTAGCACCAAACATGGTCCCTTGAGCATCACTACCAGGGGTCACTCCTGAGCACAGAGTCAGGAAGAGCCTCTAAGCACTACTAGGTATATATCATAACCTCCAAAACTGGTCTCTAACCTTAAAAATCAAAACAAAATTTAAAGAAATATAGTCATCACTTAACAATGGAGATTCATTGTAAGAAATGCATTATTAGGTAATTTATCACTGTGCAAACATCACAGAGTGCAGTCACACAGACCTAAATGGTATCGCCTACTACCTACCTAGGCTATATTGTAGAGGCTACTGGGACCCTTTCGTACATGCTCATTTACCAAAGTGTCATCAAATGATACATGATTGTACACACAAAATGTATTATTTGTACTCCTCAAACTCTTCTCTGAATTTTTCCCTCTGTGGCTCATTATCCATAAACTTACATCATTTTATTTCTCTACAAAATGAAAAACAAAAGAAACATCTTGGCTTCATATCCCTCTCCAGCTCAAGTCCTATTTTCTACCTCCCTTTAAAACCAACTTCTCCAAAGATCTGCCTCTGTTAACATACCCAATTCATTGCCTTTCATTCTTTCTTAAGTCTACTACAATTAGGACCCCTACTTCTTTTTTTTTTCTTTTTGGGTCACACCCGGTGATGCACAGGGGTTACTCCTGGCTTTGCACTCAGAAATTACTCCTGGCGGTGCTCAGGGAACCATATGGGATGCTGGGAATCGAACCCAGGCTGGTCGCGTGCAAGGCAAATGCCCTACCCATTGTACTATCGCTCCAGTCCCCCTACTTCTCACTCTTACCATCCCTGGCCATGCTGCTAAAATCACTGAACACCACTGGACACTGGAGATGCTATTCATTTGCTTTCCAGGACTTCCTGTTGTGTGTTTCCCACCTACCTCACAGGCTGCTTTCTAGGTCTCCTTTGCAGCATCTCTCACAGGCTGTTCCAGGGATGTGCCTGACTTCCTTCTTCTCTAATTTACTCCCTAAATCAGCTCAGGACTTTCAACAGCATCAGCAAATGTAAGCCTAGAGACTTGTAGTATCTGCAGCCCTGACCTCCCCACTGAGCTCCAAATTTACATCTCCAACTGCTCACTCACTAAGTTGGATATAACTGACTAAGTATGGACCCTAAAGCCAAATTTCCAATCTTACCTACTGTAATCTTCCCCATCTCTTTTCAGAGCTACTCCAACTTTCCAATTATTTCGGTCTAAAATTACAAGAGGCATTTGATGTGTCACCTTCTCTTTAAAACACTTTGAGAATCTAACCGTGTCCTCTCCCTTGGACAGCCTCCTAGTTCAAGGAGGCCCAAGCCATCATTGTTTCTTACCTGGTCAACAGGCTCATAAATGTCCATTTAATTCCTGCCTAATAGTTTATTACCAAGAAAGTAAAAATAAAAAAAGAATCAGACTCTGTCATAACTCTAGTCAGAATTTTAAAAGCTTGCAACCCTACTCTAAGTACAAGACAATGTCCTTAAAACATTCTGAAAAAGTCTGCCACAAACTGCCCTCACACTGCCCTCCACAACTTTTTTTTTAATTTACTCTATTTACGTATTTATTTTTGGCTTTTGGGGTCACACCCAGCAATGCACAGGGGCTACTCCTGGCATTGCACTCAGCAATTAATCCTGGTGGTACTAAGGGACCATATGGGATGCCGGGGATTGAGTCCAGGTCAGCCACATGTAAGGCAAATGCCCTCCCCGCTGTATTTTCACTCCAGCCCCACAACTTCTTGTGAGCAGCCTCAATGGATTTACTGTCAATTCCCCATCACAGCACCCAGTCCAGTTTCAGGCTTTGTACCTCTCCTCTTCCAGATTCTTCTCCTCCTCTCCTTTCCCACTAATCAATAGCTTCAGAGCACATTACCTTCACCAGACCACTCCTCAAATGTCACCAACTGGTCAACCTT